AACGTGGAGATTGCTGCACTCATTCCCTACCGAACATAGACAGCCTTGTCTCAATAAAGAGTACCCTTTTCGAAGAATCATGGCCTTTCTATCGTTGTGCCTGCTCCAGGAATGCCCTTCGAGCGACACGGCGCCGTAAAGTGGAAAGCTTCACAAGACTCTCGAAGGTGGAGCAATCTGATCAAAAAATGCCCCTAGCATTCACACCCATGTATGTGTCACTATTGTTGGCTAAGACTGTTTCGAAAAATCGCTCCACGCCCTGGAAGGCCTTTCTGAAAGACACTGTCAAGGGCAAACCGCACTGCCTCCGAGTCAGAGACTTCCACTCGAATCCGACATCGTGCTTCTCTTGTACATGTGCTACCCGCCAAGATTCTATCCTGACTCATCTTCAGCTGCATATTTAGAACGGATCACATATCTCCTACTTTATAAGGCCGATGTCAGACTTCGAATTGAGCGATTCACTAGCATCCGCGGTCGCGCTGCGGTACCAGTCAATCAGGCTATTCGCTGGCCGCGACGTGAGCGCGGGCGCTAGCGAATCGCTCGATTCGCAAAGTCTGACATCGGTCTAAAGCGGCCCATTGGCAGAGAGCTGAACTATTTATACTTGTCCAAACATTGTTGTTAGTCTTAAAGGAATCTTTTGGTTGATTTACTTTAGGTTCATGTATTTTTACTCTTTTTATTAATGTATGCTATACGAAGTTATTGCGCGGAAAAATCATGATTCTATTTCAGCCATAAATCACTGGCTTGAGACTCATTATCCACGATAATAGTGAAAAGAACTGAAGTATTGCTTTCGTTTTGATTAGAAATTCGAAAACTCGAAAAGGCTGCTACGCGTTCGAATTGCCCACGGACGTCTTTCACGAATGCTGGCGACGGGGATGCTCAAACTTGGTTCTTGGAGTGCATTCACTAGAAGCTCTTTCTGGCCTTCTGCTTCGTTGCATTCACATCTTACACTTCTACTCCATCCTATTCCATCGATCGATTTGTCTCCACTCTCCGAAATCGCGCGCTTTAACCCGATTCTCTCATTGCGTCGCCTGGTACGTAGCCGGCCAAACGCCGTCTTCTTTCCATGCCTCGCCTGGCTCTGCCTCCTGGTCCTTCGATGGTCCATAACGTGTAGTTTTTGTACGTTTGTTTCTCTTCAGAAACCGAATCTTCATGCGTGAAACTTTGTGTGCTATTTCCAGTGATCACAACTGACATATTCATGTTAGGAAAGAGTGCAAGAATTTTCCGCGCAAGATTCCTTTAAGTATACAAAGGACATCAAAAAGACATGACTGGAGTTCAGGACGTGTACTTGTTCGACTTATACGTATTTGTATTTTGAATGAATTCGAATATTTTTTCTCGCTCAGATTCAAGCATTTTCTTCTGTGGTCGAGTCTATCGATTTTCCTGAGACATGAACCTCCAGGTGTGCGCCTCGATAGCGCTGAACAGCGATTGTAGGCCTCAAACTTTAAAGTGTTGCAAAACATTTTATGTTGAAACATACTTTATCGCAGTCTGTTTTTCTGGCATAGTAATACCGTTTTCGGTCTGTCTTCACGTTCTGTCTGCCGCTCTGATTTTCACTCTATCTTTTGCGTCATTTTCCTGTCTGTGCCGTTTCTCTCAGCCTTGTTTGACTTCGACTGGACGAATCTATTTGGACGCTCAACATTCCATAAACCTTGGCACGACCGATAGTGGCCAGCCGGCAGGGCACACGAAATCGGTCGGGCGTGTGGGACCGTAATGGCCCGCCGGCGGGCAGATGGACAACTAATTTCGTGTAATTTCCTCCCTTCTGGACAGTTTGTTCAATATGGTTCAACAAGCACACCTTAACCAGGCTATGTACACAGTGGTCCACGAATTGCTTTCTTCTAGGGAGGAATCCAGAAACAATAGGCCTAGAAACACTTCTAATGGTAATGTTAGCAAAAATATCATCATGACCCACAGAATAAGAACACAGCACCTGTGGTGGTGATTTTTGAAAAACCGAGAGATAGATCTTGGGACTGCAAATTTCGTATAATACACTGATAGTATTCCTTGCCATTGTTTAGTCGATCGGACCGTCGTATTGACAGTGGCGGTTTCACTCGGGCTCGGTTGGTTTGTAAAAAATAATTGGCATTTAGATTTAATACAAATAGCATGTAAGTAAAAGTGAGAGTTCTGGTTGGTGCAGCAAACGGGTGTTGCTGTCCAAAAAGGCTAGCTATACTAAGGTTCCAATTGAAGCCACTAAATTGGAATTCAGTGTGTGGTAGTAACCGTCTATTGAATAACGTTACTTGTTATTGACACCACAGTGACTAAAGAAAGAAGCTTGAAAGAAGCATTTGTATTCAAATCTGGTCGATTTTTGAATGCAAGTTTTGCGCAAGAAAACAAATTGTTTTCGGTAGCTGCAACTTCAACAGTATTATCAAAACACTTCTGTTACACTAATATTCTGAGGTCTTTTTCATTGGTCTTTTCAGTACTTTGCTAAGTAATCCTTGCGTTACAAATGAGGCGGCTTGATGTAGTACGACGACACTTACCTAAGTGAAAGATTGACAGATTGCAATCGAATGGTGTGTGTGCGTTAGAGATCAGCAAAAATGCGGTCTCCTGGGACCGCATGGCCGTCGGCGGAGCCATTGTTGAGTGGCTCCGGGTAGCCCGTGTCTGGCGTGCCGGTCCCCACAACGCTAGATACGTTTCAGAGCGCTGTCTCGATTCGTCAAGAGAGTGGGTTAATTCGCATCCCATTCATATCACTCAGTTCATATCACTCGGATTTACATATCCTTCTTCTTTTAGTGAAATTCATAACCGGGGAATATAGCCGACGAAACTAGCAAACAGATGTTTTCACTGAATCTTCCAAAATAATTCCGTTTCATCAGAAACACCAATTCAGGGAATTCCACGATAAAGTCGAAGGTAGAAGAAGGGGTGTTTCACCTAACTTGAAAGACAGACGCATCCCCTAAAGGTATGACCGACACGCAATTTGCAGTGAAGGATATGCCCCGGCGACTAGCATGGCCTCCCCGCGGCGCTATCGGCGCGGCACGCCCACCGACTGGCTAACCACTCGCCGCAGGTCTCTAGCCGTTTAGCAGAGAGAGCGTTAGCGTTGAAGAGGGCAGCACCGATGAGAGTCGCATCAATACGGAAATCAATGTGCAAAGAAGGATGCCGTTTTTTTTTCAAGTTCTAGGCCATTTTCCTGGTTTTTTCTACATCCCGACACCTTTACCTTAGTTTCGGCAGGCTGCCTTGAAATCGTAAACCCCGGTTTATTCTATGATAATTCAACCAGCGGCATTCTGTCAACTATTCCTCTATTTAGAAGTCGTCATGCTATGTTCTCGGTCCAGGATGGAGAAGAAGTTTTGCTCTCCCAAACCTGGTGCTACTTGACACATCCCAACTCCTCCAAATTGATGTCGAGGCAGGATGGGCGTCAGGGTGGTGAGGGGGAGGGGGAGGAAGAACATGTATAGCAAATTCTACGTCCTATCCCACAATGTGAATATCCCACCTCCTTCAGCCGCCCCCCCCCCCTATGATCTCCTAGAATTCCGAGCACTTCCCTCCTCCGCCATGTGCTACCTCTGCGGAGGAATCTGCGAATGTTGTAATTTACTCTGCCGGCGGGTAGGGGGGAGGGGAGTGTGGAAAGGGGATTATACCTTTATGTTGAAATGGCGACAAATCGCAGATTTGTTTTCAGATCTTCGAAATTATCCCGAATTTTGCCAAAAACTTTCCTACTTCGGAGATTTCCCCAACTCTTTTCCTAGTCCTCCCACGTCTGACTCTTCTAATCGGAACGTTCAGCCTGCTCAGAAGGCCACTAGGCATAATTTTTGTCCATCGTATTTTCATCACAACAGATTAGTTCTCGAAACATCCTTTATTATACGAATGTAGATAGGCATAACATGTTAGGGTAGTAAAGATTAATAGTGATTTTAGAAGGCTCAAAAAAGCGACGAGTTTTCCTTTTGGATTTAAGAAAGCAAACTAGTTGGCTAAAAAATAACGTAACTTTTCATATTTCTTCCTAAACTGCAGAAGAAAACAGAGAGAGAGACGTTGCACAGGGCTGCCCAAAACACAAACATTTCTCGCCAAGACAACTCTTATCAGCAATTCAGGCGGCACACACCACGACACAATCGAGCACAATGTCGGAGTGGGCGTGGTTTCACATGGATGAAATGACACGCCCATTCCCACATAGGTCGAGGTAGCCGGAGCGCACCATCGCAACACATGATACACATACACAGCGAAACACTGGCCCGCCGCGCACCGGTAAGCAAGAAAACCAGATCAAATCGCCAATTAACGAAATCGGCCGCAATAGAATATAGAGGAAGTGAGACAGAAACACACACGGACAATTACACACGAACAGAAGACAGACAAAAACACATGCGTCATGCTATCCCTAAAGGCGTTCTATACAATCCGCGAGCCACACACACACAGCATTCACATGGCTATTTAAAGTGACATGTGGCCTAACTGGCACACGGATAAATGTGATATTTGTGCAGAAAGGGACGCTACTGTTCACCGTATTGTCCCCAAATGCTCACCCGGTAAACACAACAAAACCAAACCAAACTCTGGATTCCGAATACACAGTAATTGAGTGAAATAATGGAATACAATCATAATAATGAATAGATGGCAAACGCCATAAAGAAAGAAGAAAGAATAAAGAGGAACGATAAATATCTCTCACGTGAAAATGAATGAAAAAAAAAGAAAACCACATACGCACCCACACACACACGAGAAAACTAAACACACATGCACCAAACAACCGGGCGCATCTACAACGATTTAAAGAACTAGAAAGTGAAAAACAAGAAAATAATAAAGACTACAACAATATTAGGAATAAGGTATGAATATGAAATTCCGTCTGTGTGCAGTCAGAGGAGACGAGGTCCGCGGGTCCCGCATTGAACTCACTTAGTTTGTTCGGTGAGTTTACGCTCCAGTTCCTCGAGGCTCATTGGACGGACCGATGGCGGTGGCATGCGTGCTCCTACCGGTCCCCCAACACTTTGAGAGCTGCTTTGGAACGAACTGCTTTCCTGTGTTCCGCCAGTGAACTGCGATGGTTGAACGCCAGCCGCAGCAAGCAGCTTTTCCAGTGGACTTTGAATTGGACCGGATAAGTCAGAAGCGGCGCCAAATGATGACGAGCCAGTGTAATTCTGTGGATTACGTTCGGCAACATTAGGAACCTGAAGGGCGAAACCGATCGATAGCATTCAGGCAATGAAACCTTAAACATAAGAAATTATGTTCAAGACCTACCTGCATCCCAGTGGCTGCAGCAACAGCTTGTTGATGACCTTGCAATTGCATGATTTTGGCAAGAGCCTGCTGCTTGAGACGCATTTGTTGTTGAGCATGAGCAAGTTGCTGTACCTGAACAGCACCCTAGTGCAAAGAGAAACCGGAAGCTAACTTTTACATTGAATCCAGTTTTCCAACCGGTGAGAGAGGAGAAACAAACCTGAGCCATTTGCATGAGTATCTGAGCTTGAGCTTGAGGATTGGGAGGTACGGCACTGTTACTGTTTGGAGGTGGTGGGCGCCACGCCGCCATAGGAAGACCACCTTGAAAACATTAATTTTAACTTCGAGTAAATTGTAGACTTGGTAAGCATTGGTAAACCACGTTATTTAATACATTAAAGTATTAATCAGAACGCGAATAGGGGACATAACACACTGTTGAGAAAACGAGTAATGTCATTTTAGAGAATCGAGCACAAAATTCCCATCACCAGCATGTCATTTCCTATCACTCTTGACTATCACGCTGGAGAATTTTGCCACGACATCAATTTTACAAATATTCACATTGGTACATAAAATGGATGCTTACTGTTTATCTCAGATTTCCCACTGTTTGCTGCTTTATGTTCTCGCGCACGCAAAATGACATACCTTTCATGCGACGAAAAAGCAAAAATGTGTACTGTCGTCATGGCACTAACACATCACGCCCTATCATATTCCTTTTCACCCTGCCATTTCTCTACAAAGGGCTTCTGCTATTTAAATTTTATTCATTCTAGTAGTAAAGAGGAAGCTTGATAGGTACCCATCCATTTACCGATTCCTTGAACAGAAAAGCATTCACTCCCGAACGACGAAGCCGGATTATTCGAAATATACACACACACAAAACACACACAAACGTGAGTGTGCCGCGAGATCGTATCTTGTAACCTAAGGGTAACCAATAAAGTTAAATATTCGAAAAACCCACAATAGATATTGTTCCGAGAAGTAATACAACAAGCCATGGCCACTACCATCAGGCAGTCATTTAATAAACTGTTCAAATCATAAATAACTTCCAGTACCAATTTTTTGAAAGAAGTAGTAACACTATTGTCTCATCAGTAAAAAAACGGTAGGCTAGGGCTCCAAGTCATGATCAAATAACTCGGATGAGCCTAGATTTCCTCTGTATAGGTGGTACCAACCATCTAACAACCACCTTCCATCAATCACCAAAAATTAATTAACAAAATAATTTGCGAATGAAATTCACCCTGCATCGCATTCATCATAGCCGCATACTGGTGTTGCATTTGCATTTTCTTCAGCATGTCTGCATTATTTCGAGCAGCTGCTTCGCCAGCACATCTACAAAAATGGATATAAAACGTAAAGAAAACCAAAGTGTACGAAAAATTTGCTCATTGATTTATCATATCTCTCAAAACCGCTATTAGTTTATGGAGTATAAGTAATGTATCCTGTCATTACTGACGCCAGAGCCCCTTTTTTTTTTACCAATCAGAATCACGTGGAACAATCATAAGTCGACACAGCAGCCACCTAAAAGTATTTAAAAGGAGCTATCGACGTCCGAAACATCCCACGACCTCAATTTTCGATTGAGATCTTCGTGAGGTAGAATATTATCTGCATTTCTCATATTCCTAGTGCCCGCTTACGAACTCAGTAGGAGACGGGCTCACCTGTTGCTATGTTCCATGCCATTAAATTTATCCCCCATAAAATGCGCCAGTTTTTGCTCAATCGATGTGTATACGTCGTCGGGAAAAATTTCAACTCTTCAACGATGGGTACTACATAGGTGATATAAAGTAAATTATCCACTTTTGAAGCCTTATAGAAAGAAATAGAACACGGCTTGACTGAAGACATCCAACTACGTTCCTGCATTGCGCCGAAAAGAGTTGAAATTTTCATTCACATTTTTCACGTAACCCAGAATAAGGCAGAGCAGAATTTTACCAATCTGTTTGGGTATCCGTCTCGATATGTTCTACCGCAAATAGCAGATGTGTTTATAAAATCGTTCAAAAGGTCCTAACCAAGGAATAGTTCAAGCTAGCTGAACGTCTGAAAGGGAGCGCGCACATTGGATTAGCATTGAGTTCTAGCGGGACACATTGATCGACGGTTCAAATAGCTGAGAAATTTGAGATGGCATCAACCATTGAGTACAAGTGAAGAAGCTTTTTTTAACAATGGAGACAGATTCCACCTTGTCTCTTCGACATAGTTCGAGCAAAGAGCCTGGTAAAATTACCTGGTTCAGCCATGTGTGTAGGGCTACCGTCCTGATCAGTTCTCGAAGTTCGATGTACAGCCTCTTCAGCTTGCGAAGTACTTGCCTTATTCATCTGACGCTGTACTGAGGAAGGAATCATCTGGGTCGGAGGCCGAACCTAAGTCGAAGCAGCATTGTAATTTGTAGCACAGACTAATTAAAAAGAGAAAAAAATTGATGAAAGAAGTAACCGGAAGCAAAATGGCTGTGTAAATCAAAAAAATCACGCTACAGAAGCAATGGGGATTTTTCACAAAGAAAAAAAAAGAGGAATGTGGATAAATAGGGTGGTTAAATTATAAGTCGCCACCAATATGTGAAATTTTGTTTGAACGCTCAAGAAGGCTCACTCACTTTCCCCAGCTTTCCTTGCGCAGCTGCAGCGGCGACGAGTTGCTGTTGCTGAAGGCGCAGAAGAGTCGCTCGTATCTGATCATCTGAAAAAAATTATATATGTCGGCTATATGGCAACGCATAATTACTAGATGCAACGGTCGCTACATCACAAATACTTTTTTATTTCAGATTTTTAGACTTCTGGCTGGCTAAAAACCGCACCCCTCACCACACTCGCCACCGACGCACACCAAAGTGGCAACATTAGGTATGAAAAAGGGCAGAGGAAGGTGAGGTCTATTTCACACAGTTACATGTATAGCAGACACTATCTCAATGATGAGCAAATATGCGCTCTGGCATTTGTATGGAAGATTGTTTTGCGATGCAGTTACTTCAACTGCACCCTTTCAGCAGCAGTTCGTAGGAGTGATTGCTTCTTACAGAACAGGAATTGGCGTGTAATGTGTGGTCGGTCTCAGGAATTTGCAAGACTTCCTAAAAACTGATAATTTATTGCAGCATTGCTTTTGCGTTTAAAATGGAAAGGTTCTGCGTATGCAGGCACTTGATTGAATAAAATGACCAGGTTTCGAACGAACTACCAAGTGGAACACATGCCCGCCTTTGGATCTGATGTGTTGAATGGCGTCGAACATCAAGTCCAATCTTTTCCGTTAGTCGTGGCTCAGCGGCTGGTTGTAGTGGTGGGAAGGGTTCAATTTTCGACGACTACAGCGTATTACCGGAAGGAGATGGAGACCGCGGAGTGACGCCTCGGGTAGATAGCATAGAGATACGACTGGTTGGAATTGTAGAGTGGGGGAATGTCCTATAGGATGCAAGTAAAGGATTTTCTAGCGAGCGGAGATAGGCAAAACAATGACGAACAATGAGCAATAAAGAAAGCGGAAATCATAGAAAGGCTTTTGTAAACTTCAAAAACTCACGCATATGAGCTGGAGGAACACCAACACCTCCATTTGCTGCTAACTGCGCAGCCATTGCTTGATGAAGTTGCGCTTGGATATGGGCCTGAACCAACGCCGGATTTTCTGCTGCCATGCCTGAAAGTGGGTTTTTTTTTTGAGATAAGCAGCATTGCAACCAAACAGTCGAGAATGTGAATTGAATTTAGCATCTCCCGCCAATCACTGAACTAACTCACGAGCAAGTAGAGCAGGAGGCACAATTGGAGCTCCAGGAGGAAGCACTGGAGGAAGAAATGGAGTTGCACCTGGTGGAAATACTCCTCCCACTGAAGGAGCAAGATTTGGAGCTGGAGGGCTTGGACCACTGTTTGGCAGAGGAGCATTCTCTTCCTAGAATGTGAAAGTCACTATTTGTTTACATACACCGTCGATTTTTGCCGTTCTGATTAATATCGTGCAGAAACTCCATAAGAATGGGCAGCATTCAGTATGGGCAGAGATCAGACGCGAACCAACAGCTACCAACACATGGGAGATCGACATTCAGATAAACAATTCCCAGATCATACTGGGTAGAGGAAGTGGCTATCTGGCATAAAATTCGCCTTACAAAATGAAACGCTGATTTGTACATCGATCAGCTTCGCGAGACTTTACATAGTCTGAGTTCGCGTTCACACACCACAGCGGTGGTGAATGGGATCGGAGCACAGATCCCAGGCTTGCGCCAAAAGCTTTTGTTTCTTTAAGGTACTACAGCTCATTGGAATCACTTTTCGGAAAGTGGACGAAAAGTTGCAAATGTTAGAAAAGATCTACAACTTGGTGGTGAAAAATATGTAATTTACGTCACTGGAGTAGCGCTACATTTTAAAATTCAAAAAAAAAACCAAAGCTCGAGTAATGGCACATACCTGTTGTTTTGCGAAGTTTTGCAGTCTATTGAGGAGATGCGCCTGTTGATTCGGATCTTGCAGTGGATTGCCCTTGGTTATCTAATGTTAACACAGGATAAGAAGTTGAAATCGACATGGAACTTTTAAAAAGCGGAGGTAATTAGCAGGACACTACAATTTTATATACTCACTGGTACAGAGCGCGTATCCTTTGAGCTAATAGCCTTTTCCAGATCTTCCAATCTCATGGCACGTACACCACCCGGACCAGCCACAGTTGGTGGCATTGATGGATTTCCCTGGAACAAAAGCCTTAGTAAGGGCAACACTATTGAACGCGGTCCCAGGTTTCTTGCCTTTTGTTTGAAGGTAGGTCGTACAAAACTGACAAATAAGATCGAAACTATAAGATAGCAACAACAAAATATCAGATATAATATAACTTCTTATAACCCTGAACTTAAGTGCTGCGGTTGACAGAAGTGATATACCTGTGGCAGGATTTTGAGGGATCTTGGCACCGATGAAGGAGTGAGCAAAATTTTGGCCGCCAACAAAGGATTAGAAGACTGAGGATCGTCTTGGCTAGTACGAGAGTTCTGTGCATTGCTACCAGCTGTAAAGTCGTTAACGTTAGTTGAAGAAAAAGCATTACAGACCTAAAAAAGATAATGATGGATAAGACTAACACTGAGAATTATTCTTATTGAAGAAGCGGCTCAAGCGACTGCCAGTAGTCGTTGCAGACGAAGAGGTGTCCTCAGTAACGGCGCTCACCTGAGTAGACATCTAATTATATTGCAAAAACTAAAAAAAAATAACAACAGATTACCTTGTCAAGGATGCCGGACATACAGCTATCATCTTGCACATCAAGCAAACCTAATATTGCAGCAAACTCGGCATCAGTTTCTGGCAGTGCGGGTCCTATAGGGCGAGATCCTTGAAGGAAAATGCGCAATAAAAAGCAGATACGTTCTTCAACACGCTATTTAAGTTCAGAGGTGATAAATGTATCTGAAGTGAAAGCAAGATAGCGCACCAAGTGAATTATCATCTGTTCGTTGTTGATCGAGTTTCCCATTCTCCAACGACTCCTTCCTACCATCTCCCTTCTTTTCCTTCTCTTTCTCCTTTTCTTCTTTTGCACGACTTCCTGACCCTCTCTTGCTTTCTGTAATTACGCGTGCAGGAGCCAACCAGAAGGATATGAAACAATAATGAGAACTGACTTTTGACAGGTTCCTCAAAACCTCGCAACTCGATCATGTCGTCCATTGTTGTTGATCCATCTGCCCATTCCGGCATTCGTTCTTCTCTGCAATTTGAAAAGCAATAAATTGCAAATTTCCAACCGTGACGCTCAAAAACAAAAAGCCAATAGATGCAACAATCAGACTAGCCACCACAGCACGTGCTGAGTATAAGAATGCAGTGCAAGAAAACCATTGCGACAAACAAAGAATTACCGTTGATTTTTGGACTGAGAATATTTTCCTCCACTCATTGACGGCCCACGCTCCTTCATTTCCGAACGCCACGAACCAGCACCACCTCCACCAGAACTGCGAGCATTCGCTCCAGTGGATCTTTGCTAAAAACATTGGTATACAGTTTTGAAATGCAAAATCGTAGCACAAAAAGTTCAATACTAAGCATGCAGCACAAGTACCACAATTAACAGACTAAATAGAAGAAGTGATCTTAAAGAAAATTAGACTCACGAAAGGCAATTTGAAATCGCTGCTCTTATTAGAATACTTGTCGGCACCGCCATTCGATCCACCACGCCAGTTCTTCGTGCTATTCGTTCCGAGGCGATCACGGTCTCGCTCAACACCGGTCCAACCGCCTTCATTGGCGAATCCGCTGCTACTTGGAACTCCTGTAATCGGAAAAAAGTGGTTACTTGGGTTGACGCGTTTTTCTGCATTCCTAGCAAATGTCAGAAAATGGAAAACACACCCTCTTTGCTTTTGTCATCCGCAGGTGCTCGACAACCACCCGAAAACCCTCTTCGTTGTGGTGACAGACCGGCGTTCTCGTCCATGGCTCCTGCAAATAATTACGTGCGGAAAAAAGATTGGTAACAGATTGTACCTAAAAACAAACAAAAATTTTCATCAGTGAATCTGAAAATGGATTAAACCGAAATAAAGGACATAGTTTCAGGGAAAATGATGTACAAAGAAATATCCTATACTGTAAAAAAATTAGGTGGATTCTAGTCGACAAGTTTTTAATCTCATCGCATTTACGAGCCAGGCATAAGCGCGATGCGCCGAAGCCAAACCTTGTTCTATCAGGCATTGATCAGCATAGGCCTGGTTCGACTGCTTTCTTTGCGATCGACCAGCACATCTCTCGCATTCAAAACACAATGTGCTTCTTAGATTGTGTGAGACGTGGAAGGGAAAAAGCATAAATCAAGAGAAAACTGAAACACGCTTAGCTTGAGTTATGACGAAACCTGTTTGAGACAATTCAAAACCAAACTGCGCGTAACAACGTGTTAATTCCTTTGTAAAGCAATTCCATATATCTATACTGCCTCTTCAGGCAAAGTGATTTAAATTTGTGGAGCTGCAACTTATTGGGAACGCTTCCTATTAATCGAAGTCTACAACAACGACCCACAAAAAATGTAAATGATTTCTTCTTCGATGTCGTTCATGTGCTCAGAATAGCCTTTAAGTGGCTCAAATTTGTGAATCAATCAAAGATCAGAGGGGAAAAAATTGATCATCTGTCTAATGTGATACAACTAGCTCACCTGAGTCAACTAATGGAACATCTAATCCCAAATAAGCTTCAAGAAACAGAATAGAACATACCTGCATTCAATGCGTCTTGCAACTTTTTCGTCGGTGCACGATTCTTGATGCCTTCTACCTCCCACCGGTGCTCCAACCACTTGAACGGTGAAAATTTGCCGTCATCTCTATAATGAAAATCATTAAGTAAATAACTGTAGTATAAGCTAGAGAAAGCTGTAAGCCAGAAGGGAGCCATGAAAATAAACACACCCATTGAAATCAACAGAGAGTATTTCAGGACGTTGCATGCTGAGCGGCGCCGTGGATAAGCGAATCATTTCGTCTCTGTCGTACCGGAACACGTGACCGGTTCGCGGAATAAACTTTTGACCTAGTAAATTCGATACAAGAGGATGGACCTCGTTCTCCTCATCTGACTGACTGGACATATTTACACTGAAATGTTCTACTTTTACCACAGTAGTTATCGCATATTTTGTGCATTAATTTCGTACAATGATCTAACTATCAAGATGAAGGCCGAATAGAACACTCAAGAGAGCAAGAGTTGAGCCCTGACCAAAATCCCGACTGGAAGCTTGACCTTTTATGGTCAGGGCGTAACTCTGGCTGAACCAAAACCTGCCAGAATAAGCCCAAAAGTAATAAAGCAGAAGTAGCAATGAACAAAAAACAATCACAGATGGCTGCGTGCAAGGCAGCTGCATTTTACACAGCCTACTCATTACTAGTTATTAGCAAGCACAAGAAGAAGAAGAAGTCATGGGAGTTTCGCTAATTACCAAGTTTACTCTGTAGCAACCATAACCCAGTATACTTATCAACTTTTGATGGGTGTTTGAGCGCGACGCCACGTCAACGTGAGCCAGTGCTGATGATCATAAAAAATGCTCAAAAAAACTATCTCGAGCAAGGCGATGCGAGTTCGTTGCTCCAAACTAATTTATGATCAGTACGACCAGAAAATCTTGGGAACTGTGCGAACGAAACAAAGCACAACTGCAAGTTGTTAAATCAAAAAGATAGTTCTTTTTTACACATCCGGTCTCCGTTCTATTCAGTCTGTTCAGTACAAGTTAACACTCCGATAAGCACTCGTAAAATTCGACATCAACTCGCTCTTGTGAACATTTACCATTTCCGGATCGAACGGAATTAGTTCGAAACGATCCGTTTCACCATTTTTGAGATAATTCAATCGGAGACTATCGAAAAATCAATCGCCGAAAAAGAGAAGTTGGAAACTTGAATGAGTTCAGGGGTTCGAAGCTACTGCTTGATTGGCATAACAAAACGAATAGATGGTACCTCCTCTACGACGTAGCATAGCTTAACAGAGAAAGATTTATAAAATGAAAAAACCAGTCACGTGGACGCCTTCCACCTTGTAGGAAGGGATGACTAATCGCTTGGATATAGGAAGCAGCTGAAGCAAGCTTCAGCGTTCTGCGCACGTATCACGAGAACCACTATCCTGTATGAGGAAAACTACAGCAAAGCAGCAAATTACGCACATTCCAAAGAATTGATTGAAGAATATTGAGATGACCACCTCACAAAAGAAAACCAAGAAATGTAAGTCCAGCATTTCCGTGAACTCAATCCATAGGTTGAAAAGTGTACGACAACCGCTCGCTACTACGGTAATGGCGCTTGGAAAGGGCGCACCAAAGGTGTACATTGACGCAAATGAAAGTTCGTGTTTCCTTTAAATTTGGGATCATTTGCTAAACGAAGTTATTACGCTTTTTAGTGCTTTTGCATGTTTGTGCCCTACTTTTGCAAAGCTTCTATTTTCTTAATATCATCTTGAGGAGGAATAGTGGCTGTTGCAGCAGTCTTGGTGTCACTGTGGGACTCCAAACTTTTTTTGTCATGAGCTTAGGCATCGTAGAAATGGTGTCGTAGATAAATCTCACCTTGTGAATTACCCTTCGTTTGCTTTCTTGTTTTCAATATTGTTCCTTTTCTCCCATTTGAACACACAGAGCCAGTTTTGAGAAGTTGAGTACAAAATTGTAGTGAATAGTCTGAAGATATTGTTTACGGTAAACGTTTCCTTCTAAGTATTTGATAAGCTTAACTGTGTCTAGCTCCAATGGGTTCTATAACTGCACCTACACCAGATAAACAAAGGCCGAAACACATGGCATTGTAGCGTGCGGGATAAAGGTTCGAGGCACCATTGTTCTTCACACCCTCAAGTGCTCTTGCCAATTCGTTGATCGGACGGACTAATTGGCCTCATACTACCTGAATCGGAGATGTAGGCGAACAAAATACTGCGGTGTAATGTTTTCGAAATCAAAACAGCATTATCTATGGTCCATTAACTTTACTCATTCTTCTTCGCTTATCACTTACGACGGGATCATGTAATATATGTGACGTTAATTGCGCTGGGCGTCAAGAAGTCGCGATCGTCGCAGGTTTCGCTGATTTTCGCGATTCGCGCGATTCACGCGACGGGTCACGGAAATCACAAGTGCCCGATCAATACTGCAAGGTGTTCTCCAATCCTGCCGCCACTTCTGCTTGATAGTGATGGCTGAATGACGACTGCTCATGATTCCACTTGTTTCATATTCAGTGTTTCAAATGTTCAAATGGGGCACTTGCAATTTTTGCGATCCGTCGCAGGTTTCGCGCAAATCGCAAAATCGCGCAAAATCGCGAAAATCAGCGAAACCAGCGAGGACGTGGACTCTGACACCGCGAAGATGGTACAAACCTTGGGGAAAAAATCGCTCCCGACACTCGAGTATATGCTGCAATATGTACTCCCGTTTTCAACAAAAAGAACGCATATTTACTCATTATCATATGCAATTGCCACCACAACCCCCACATTATCCAGATCGACTTATCCGCACTATTTTTTCCGTTCTTTATGGTAGCGTCTTATACATCTATACGAAGTTATTACGAATAAGTTCGTTTTAGGCTTGGTTTCCGCTAATCATGGCGGTCGGAAAGAATAACAACAAAATGGGCAAAAAGGGCGGCAAAAAGAAGGCCGTAGATCCATTTGCCCGAAAGGAGTGGTACGATATCAAAGCGCCGTCAATGTTCTACAACAGACAAGTCGGAAAGACTCTCATCAACAAGACCCAAGGAACGAAAATCGCTTCTGAAGGTCTGAAGGGACGTGTATTCGAGGTGTCATTGGCAGATTTAAACGACTCCGAGGCCGACTTCAGAAAGTTTAAGCTTGTGTGCGAAGATGTGCAGGGAAAGAACGTTCTCACCAACTTCCATGCCATGTCCATGACCCGCGACAAATTGTGCTCCATTGTGAAGAAGTGGCACGTGAGTTCTTATTTGCTTGTTTACTTTTGTTATTTAATCTTAAAAGGTGTGCTACCTTGTTTTGCTCTCTTTTCAAACCACATTTTTTTCAGACTCTCATTGAAGCCAACGGTGTATTCAAGACAACCGATGGCTACGTTTTACATCTGTTCTGCATTGGATTCACGAAACGATCACCCAACCAAGTTAAGAAGACCACTTACACAAAGGCCTCTAAAGTACGCAAGATCCGCGCCAGAATGCTGGAGCTGATGAAGAAGGAGGTGAGAAGTGTTCTCGTTGCATTCCCCTTTGAAGTATTGCCCCCTCTAGCCGCGCACACTGCAGGGCTTGAACAGACGCCTACCGTAGTGCATTGTGTGGTGCAATTTGCGCAGCATTACCGAGACAGCGGTTTGAGAGATCAAGTAACGAGGTACTGGCAGTGTCACGTAGTCGAGAACCACTGATCCACCCTTCCCATTCCCTAGCTGGGGAGTAGATTGCCGGCCGATGTGTGTGTTTCATCTTCAGCCTAATTCCTCACCTTGCACTCTCCCAAAGTCGTTCGGGTCTGTCCAAGTCCCCAAAAATATTTTTCGAGGATGAAGTGGAAATGGGAATTGAACACCCACTTTTTGGAAATGCAGTGTAGGTGCAGACCCCTTTCCATTGTGATCCTCAAAAGTTCTTGGTGCCATGGTACTGTAGAAACAGGAGCCTCCAGGTGTTAATAAAAACTTTTGCGGAAGGCATGGATAGGCGGTCTAAAAGAAGTAATGTCTGAAGCCGCTCCAAGTTCTTTCTTCTTGTTTTGAAAAGTATCCTTAGCCTAACAAGGAAATTCTGGTAAAGCTCCAGAATGAAAATGCTCAATTGATTTTGATATCATTTTTAGTTCATTTGTTCGCTTCATTCGTAATAGCACAATGACTGGTTAGTATTCATTATCCCTGAAACATTCTCCATCAATCAAAAGATGTGGGGTTCTCAGATGAACAGTGCTGCTTCTGTGCGGCAAATAGTGCTCAAGGGAAATTTTTCCTCTTGACCTGAGTCGGGTTAGTTGGCTGACGTCGTCATTCATAGTTAATGTGTTCCTGGGTGGCTTGGTAAAAGAGGATCGTTTGTATGGCAGTTCGCCAAGCTGCTGCTCTGCAAAGTGGGCTGCCGCCGGTTATTGCGTGGTCGCGTGACATAGGTATTTTCTCCCTCGGGCATCTTGTAAATTTCGTCTTTGTCATGAATTTCGGTCGTCGAGCGAAAATTGATCATTTTCCTCTCTCTAGTTTGCCAAGCAGGATGCAGTTTGTGTATGCTTTCAACGGAGCAGACTGTATTATTTCACTTCTTTTATGTATCTGTTTTCTGGGAGGTACATCATGGTAGCAGGAATCGTGGTATTGAAAAGTTTCGTGTGATCGAGGTATCAGAGAAGAAGGGTTTTGGAAGAATGAAAAGAAACAGCCCGCTGCAAGGGTCTTGAACTTCTGAAACTTACGAAATTGTGGACGGTTGCAAACGCTAAATTGCCGCGCAGAATAGGTAGATAACAAAGGAAATGGTGGGTGATAGAGAATGAGAGTTCGTCTGAATGTGAGCGGATGACAGAAAAATTTTTGGAGGTATCATACATGCAGTTGTAATAGCCAGGATAGATTTGATACAAAAGCAAACGAAGATTTGGCCAAGGCTGAACTGATTGTAACAGAACTCGTGATCGGTAGAACAACATCTATAGCAAAGTGAGTCGATCTGTCGATTGTTCACTGATCTGCATGGTGTTTCAACAAAGTAAAGTATCTTAACGAAGGAGCATTCAATTTTCAAGTCTTTCGTGATATGGTGAACATTGCACTATCGTTCACCTCTTTGCCGAATCAGCTATACTTCACGTTCCTTTACATACACTACTTGCTTGCTTACTCTACCCGTTCGCGTGATTGACCACTGTCAGACTTCTGCTACTACCCACTATATTTGACAATGATAATTATTAGAGGGATTGATCGTTTGTGTCTCGAATGTCGTCTGGCAACCGATACCTGTAAACCCTCATTATTGGATTTTATCCCATTCGGCCCATCTTTCATCGTGACAGTTGATGTTATATAATCCTGAGGAACGGTTCCATTATGATCCGAGGGGAACTGCGATATATGGGTCGCCAATGCGTGTCTGCGAAAGAGAGTGGACCCGAAAGCTTAATGTTCGCGCAGGTCAGATGAAAAGTTCGTTTTGAATGACAGGAATTTCGTTACCTAGGAATACGGCAATCGAAAATTCAGCTGGGCTACGCAATGTTTCTATTGGGCAGAATAGTGATTTTGCTGGTTTTTGTTTACTGGAGATAGTTTGGTGGTAACGCGGTTGTCACGCAGGATAGTTTTTATTTGTCTTCATGAATAAGTGTCATAGTGAAGTTGGTTTTAGCCCTCCACTTACTTAAACATTATACTTGGGTTGAATACGAGAAGTTTGAGACTCAAGGCTAACATTTGCTCACCACTAGTTCATTCGTTATGTCTTGTGTGATTGCAAGGATTGAATCTTCACTGCTTGTGAAAACTTTAACAAGACTAATCAACTCATTATAAAACCTGCTAGTAGTAGTGTTATGTGCTGGATCAATCGTCGCGCTCGACCGATTCAAAAATGGAACACCCCTGTCCCGTCATACCACCCCAAGTGAAGTGGGTTACCTTCAAATACGATCCTTCCCTCGCCTTTTTGAAGAAATGGTTAACCTTTTGCAACCTCAAGCACGACCCCTTTCCAAAAATCACAAATAAACGTAGCCGTTAGATTTGTACGAAAGGGCGGTTGATTCTGATTTCAGACATCGTGTTCGCAGACTTCAACATCACAGTTGTTGCGCGGATGACTGCTTCTCGTTTTTATTTTAGAGATCTCCTTTTAAGTATAATTTTTAGTCAATGGAGGGCTTTAACACACTAGTCAAGCTTAGGTCAGCAAATTGGTTGTTAGGATTTGTACCAATAAAGCTGGACTATAGTGGGATTAAAAGAATGCTTACCTTTATACGTCTAGCGGCTGAGGTTGTACGAGATTTTAGATGTGCGTACTACTGGGTTTTTATTAGTTTTTCTATGATTTTGGAATCTTCAAAATAGTTGAAAATTGAATATGTTGTGTAGATGGCTTTTCTGAGAATGTACGCCATGTTTTGAATTTTGAATTGGAGACGGTCAAAAGCAGTGGTGTGGTTCGAGTTTCCTGCTGAGGATGCAATGCTACAGCTTGCAGTTGCGCTTGGGATTCTCCAGTGCATGTGATAGCCTGACGGAAGGGTTTGCGTGCAGTCGTAATTAAGCTTCGGCTGCTAACGATGACTTCTCTTCCCCTGCGAATGCCAAACGCTGAGCTGAGAATAAGATGTGGTGGATACCATTGGTATAAGAGTTATTCTGTTAATCCTGCTCCGTTGCAGAGGCAGAGAACCCTGCAGCGGCGTGGGATTAATGCTAGGGAAAGAAGATACGAGTTTGTGAGGATTTACCGTGTACCTACTAAGCCCTTCTGAACGCGCTCACCCGCCCTACCGGAATGCGTTAAGATAGAACTTTCAATACTTTTTTTTATCCACTCGTGGCCCTTTGCGATGGGCGAAGTCGGCAAGAGTCATGAATCGTTTATTATGCGGAGGTAATGGCGTTTGAAGTAGACACATGTTCGCACCTTTTCTTGTTATATTCT